ATAATTTATAAATAAAAAGTTACATTAATTTAAAGTTTTGTATTTAGCGGTTGCATTACTTTTGTGAGCCACTGTATATATTAGATAACCGATATGAAAGAATCCTGAATTTATGGAACTTTATTTAATTCATTTAATTATTTTCTATCATTCTGGAAAGAGTCTGAGTCATGATGATCATGAGTTTCTCTTTACAACTTTTTAGCACACACATCAAAAAATAAAAATAAATAAATAAACGCTATATATTGTATGTTATACACAACGTTTTTAACTATTAAGATAATGAAAAACGACAATAAAAGAAATTCTGTAGTAGCTGTAATTCTTAAAATAAAGGTAAGTTTCACGCCCATGTTTACATAATGCATTAATTATTTAAGGATATTCTATACATTCTTTGATTCATTAATAATGGGTGAAATTTTTTTTTTTTTGTAATTCTGCTCTGCTAATTATCGTTTAATTGATCGTCATTCGCCAAAATATGAGAAGTTTGCTAGTGTCTCACATCACTAATTAATAAAAGTGATAATTGTGAAATTTGATCGACATGTCAATATACGATTGTCAAAGACTTCGCACGCTTGCAAAACTTGATTTCGTAATGTTAAAACCTGTCGGGAATTGGTTTGGAATTGGTTTTTTTTGGAAGGAATTTATTTTTTTGGAATGGTAAGTGGTATTGTAAAATTATTTTAATTTAAATATTAGAAAGGTTATTTGGTAAAATGGCAAAAATAACTCTTATTACGTTAGAAATAAAAACGAAAATAATATGTTTCCTAAATATTTTTTAGATAGCATTGAAAGGTTCTAAAAAAAAATCTTCTTATTATTGTAATTTTAATTCTTATTTATTTTATTACAGGTTTTATAGGACGTTTTGTGTTATTTTATTTACTACTATGATGAGATTATGTACCATATCTTTAAAGGGTTATAGCTATAGATAAACATGCAGAGTTTAGACAATTTTAGTATTATTAGAAAGGGTCTTGTTTGTCCTCTTAGAGCATTAAAAATTATTTAAATTGGATCATAGAAAGCTTGGATAATAATTTTTGAGCATATTATAAAATTTATTTATAGTTTTCGTGATTTCTCATTCTTCTGTAATTCATTTTGAACATTTTTACTTTATAAAAACAAATATAATGGTTGTTTTCAAGTGGTTTATAAAATAATTCTATTTATTATGAAATTTGTGTGGTTAAAATTATAAAAATTTTTCTTTTTGAATTCTTTTAACGAAAATTTTTTAAGTTCGTATTTATTGATCACCACGCACGTGAAATTTGAGCCAATAAACAGACTTTAGCTATGGTGATAAATGTGACAATGATCGACTGCGGCCCATATGGAAAGTTTTAATTTTTAGTTTTGGATGATGTTATTAGATTAAAATGTAATAAGGTTTTAATTTTGTCAAAAAAAATTTCAAAACTAGCAAGCTTCCCATATCACCCAATTGTTGGCGTACCTAAAACAATTTAATTTATAATAAACTTAATCGTTTCCGCAGTAATATATCTAATGGATTTGGTAAAACGATTATTATTATTTGCTTTTTATTTTTCCATAAACTAGTAACTGGAGAATTAAATTAACAAAATAAATATGACTAAAAAAATTTGATGCGTAGTGAGTATATATGAATGAAATGAAAAGATCTTAATGAATAGCCAAAAAAAATTTTTTTTTAGCAAATGTTTACGAGTATGAGTTACATAATGTGGAAAGTTCATAGCTCGTCCTTCTTTCGATACTGAAGGAGCAGTACTATGTTTGTTCAGCTGTAAATCTGATCAAAGCCAAAAATTATATAAGAAATGTTCTTCTATAAAAGGCGCAATTATAACGACAATGGCCTTTCCATTTTTGTAGTGCCCTACTGAGTCTTGCGATGCGGCTACGCGAATTTATGACTTCGCTAATTATTTGAAATAATTAAAAAAATGTGTTGACAATTAATCTTTTACCTAAACATGAAGACTATTTATTTTAGGAAACAAATAAAAAACTTAATAATATTATTATTTAAATTTCATGAAAAATACAGTATATTCAGGGGATACAATAAAAAAAAATGACAACGAATCCACAAAAAAATTAATCACCACCTCAATGTATAATTTTATGAATTATCTGTTGTTAGGAAATGGAGTAGTATCCCTTGATTAATAAAAATTTATATTAATTACACTAAGATATTGAATGTAATTTATATTTCATGGATTGAACTAGAGGTTGGAACCGGCCGAAAATTCTTTAACCGGTTAAAATTAACTTTGGCCAGTACTATAAATTTGGCCAGAGTTAGACAATATTTTGCAATCATAAAATTCTTAATTCTGGCCGGGAATTGAATTTCGGCCGGATTTAAATTCATCTATTTTAACCGGTTAAAAAAATTTTTAACTGGTTAACAAGTTTATCGTTTTAACCGGTTAATTAACCGGTTAAAAATTAACCGTTTTCAATCTCTAGATTGAACCAATAAGGGCCTTCGAACTCTGATGTTTAAACCATTTGATTTGCCTTTAATAATTTGCTCTCCATTTCGTTCTGGTGATATATTTGAGTCTAGAAATTATCTAAATAGAAAGATGCATTAATATATTACTTCAATTTTCATTCAGATTTTCTTTTTTTTATCAATGGTTCCTTATCCTTTAACATCCGTAGTCAGAAATTAAGATGCGATTAGATTAAGTTTCGCATGAATGACACTAATTATAAAATATTTATGCGAGAACATTTATTGTTTCGATGCATTCTCTTCTTTTACCAGTGATTGTTATCATTAAATAATTTCCTTTGTTGTAATGGAATGAATGGAATGATTGAATTTAATCATTTTAGATAATCTAAAGGTATGATAGGCTACATAAATATTTATTCCTGTATAACTTTTACTGAATTGTAATACGTTATACTTCCTCAATTTGGAATTTAGATTTACTTTATGAAATGGTTCCTTTTGACATTTCAAAATTCGGTTTATTAATATTTAATCTAGAGTTATAAAGTTTTCTCTTCTAGTTGACCAATTCTTATTATATAATTTATTTTTTTTCTTTTGACAAAAAAAATTTATAAAATTATTTTACATATTAAACAAAATTATTTTTTGCCAAAAAAAAAAAAATAATGCATAATGGGCTTGGTAATACCAAAATCGATAACAAATGATTTTTTTTTTTGCTTTCACAAATAACGAAAAAATAAATAAGTACGCTACGTCATTATTTATTTAAGTGTCGCACCATTCATTGATCTGCAAAACTGATGCGATTATCTGTAGAAAAATGATTGAATGTTATCTTACTGAACGTTGTTAGTCGCAAAGCGTATTGCGCCTAGGATGACCTCACACTGCGGCGATTGTCACGGAAGTAACATATGCCTTTCAAATTGACTTTTTTTGACTTTATTTTTATATTTTGTTGTTACAAACAATAAGAGAAAAAGTCAAAAAAGGTCAATTTTAAAAGGCTCCATATTAATCATGTAATGTGACACATGTGACGCATGTAACGTTTGAATTATTTTATCGGATAATTTACTTTTCATAACTTATATTATATTATTTAGTTTTCGTTACATGTAATAGTTAGAAATTTTATATAAATAGACCTGTAAGTTGACCTTGAGTCGACAGAATTCGATCAGATAGTTTTCTGAATAATTCTTAGGATTAGACTTATAACTCTACAAATTCATAAAGTTACTATTTTGAAATTTCCACTTCTTCTTGTCTTCATCATAGGATTGATTGTGATAATTAACTACACAAGTGAACCGTGATAATAAATTGTTTTGTTTGTTGATCGTTTATTTCTCCTAGGAAAGGCCTTAGAGATAATTGAGTTATTAAGTTATTTAGCTTGTTAGCTTGTTTCTTTCGGTACAATTCCTGGTATATAAAAGTTCGATAATTTGATACTCCGCATCTTATTTCTGAAACATATGGCGTCTACGTACAGTGTTGACGAAACTGATAGTAATAGTAGTAGTATTACAATTAATATAGGAAAAGATAGTATAGTAAAAGATAGCATAGAAATAGATCAACCAAATTCGCCCATTGAATCGTTCGTAGTTTCACCGGATTTGAATCATGTCGGTACTAGCCATGCTGATGGTTACTTAGCTATATGGAAGGTTGATGATAACATCGTCGAAATAATTGATTTTGGTAAAGCATTAGACAAAGAAAAAGAAAGAGCACGGAAAGCGAAGGCAGCAGCCGAGCATAACCGAAAGAAATACGCTGACGCAAAAGATACAATAGACGAAAAACTAAAGAAAGAAGAATTAAATAAGTCCGTCTCGTTAATTGGATTATCAAACAATAAATTAATGATCTGTGATGTTGAGAATCCATTTATACAAAATATGGAAACTTTTAAAGAGATATCGATAAGACCTCATCCAACTAAAGAAAGTTTTTTACGATTTCTTCCAAATGGAGATCTTTTATTGCTACTATTTCCGTATATTTATATATATTCAGAAGCATCCTTAAGAAATTCAACAAATTCACCGTGTTCATATATATCAAGACATTATCTTTGGGGAGTAGAAGAGATCAAGATTGATCATAAAGTTCAAATGTATAAAAGAATGTATTTCACTCTCGAAGATCAAAATGTCTTGCTTCAATTAAATTTTGAAACGATGAGCATAGAAAATTATTATAACATTTTAGCAATTACTGAAAACATTGTTATTGGTTCCAGGGATTGTGAATGGAAAATAGCGGTGAATAGCGAAGAAAGTTTAATCGCAATACATTTAAGATCGGGAGAAGGAATATCTTGGATACATGTATTTTCAACGAAGAACGGCCTTCGGATTTCATCAAGTGAGCAAATTATTAGCTGTTTGGTTTGACCTATTTTTTTAATAATAACTTAACTGACCTATCATTATGTAGAGGAAGGCAATTTTAACATTTCAGAAATGCAATTTATTACCACCAACGATACTGAAATTTTGGTATTATTTGAACTTTGTGTAAAAGTCACTTACACGATGATGAATCCTTATGACCTTTCATACGAGTTTAAGCGTGTATTTGAATTTCAAATACCTGATGAGATTGCAAGTTACAAGATTGTCAAAGCTTCTTCATCGCAATGTAAATTTATGTTGCTTACTATTGAAAATCAAATCAAAATGGTCGACTTTAAGTGCATTTTTGGGGAAATATATGATAAGGACCCATATCAAGTTATTGATTCGAGCTTCAAAGACATCAAAAAACCTTGCGACAATTTGAGAAAAGGGAAAAAATTAACATGGCAAACAGAATTGAAAGGTTTAAAAGTTTTAAAAGATGGTTATATGGATCATATCGACTTTGATCGAGATTTTAATTTGCAAAAACATAAAATTTTAAGTAATGAAGATATAGTACTTTATTCTGATAATAAGATTTATATTTTTGGTTTTAACGAAAAAACAAATACCATTATACCTAGATATTATCATAATAATTTTGAAGTATTTTGTGAGAGTGAAAATCTTCCATTACCAAGCATAACGCATTTAAATGAATTACCATTCCAGAAATTCCAGAATAAATCGGATTTGGTTTGTGAAATTCTTAGTTCTAGAAAGAATCTCATAGAAATGAGTGATGACATTATTGACCATGCTGTGAATCAGAAGGGAATCGAAACGTTGGAGATTTGCCTTAACAAATTATATGAAACGATTTCTGCCGATATTATTACGAATTTTAGATTTTGTAGTCTTATCACAAAATATTTGAATAAATTGAATATAGTTCCTTATTATTACTCAAAATTCCTTTTTATTACGTGTTTTATTCCGAATCCATATGTGAATAAATCTTATTTATCTGATAGAAATAAGTTGGTTGGTTATACTGAACAAGCTTATACAATTAAAATATATAAATATATATATTTTCAGAAATTTTGGAATTTTCTTCACCAGTTTTACATTCATTATAATTCGAATATTCAGAAAAAGAAAAAAGCAAGGGTTATTAGTTTTATTATTCCTTATCAGGGATTTGCAACTTATCCTACCGAATATAACTTTTGGATGGAAATCTTAAGGCCAAGTGATAACCCATTCGTCACTTTGGATGACAAAGCATTTTATGATAGTTGGAATGCTGAGGCATTACTTAATTTCAAATGGAATTCATTTGGAAAATTTTATTATTTTCTTTCTTGGGTATTATTTACTATTTTCTTGCTCTCTTTCGGAATTGGATCAACCTTGTCTCCACCTTATATGTCAGATGATACAAGAAATGTTTTTTTAAGAATCAGCATTATTTTTGGTGTATTTCATGTTTTTCATGAAGTTAGACAGATTATTTGGAATTGGTACAGATATTTTACAGATTTATGGAATTGGTTTGGTATGTAAAAGATTTTTTTACGATATAATTTAAATAAAAATTAATTATTATTTATTCATTATTAGACCTTTTCGCATATATTGTCCCAGTGTTTACCGCCATCATGTGGTTAAATCATGAAAAACCTTCATTGCGACTGATTTCTATATCAAATCTATTTTTACACTTTAAATTTATAATATTTTTGCGAGCAATTGATTATTTTGGCTCTAATTTTACCATTATTATTGGTGTAGCTAAAAGGATATTCTCTTTCTTACTGATCTTATTGCTTATTATCATTGGCTTTGCACATGCGTTTTTCATTATTTTGACTCCAAAAGAGGATTACAATTTGATTGTACCTTCCAATAATGACGATCCAAATAATCCTTGGAATCTTGTTACGAAATATCAGTCAGTTTCAAATGGCAAAATTCTTTCAGAGACAGCTTTTAGTCAACAACCTGATTCTAAATCAAATCAATTTACCACTTATAAAACCTCACTCTTGGCCATGTATTTGTTTTTAACTGGAGATTCATCAGCAATTAGCTCATGGACATACCAGGAAAATCCATTCTTGACAGTGCTGTTAATTATGTTTTCATTCTTGGTTGTAGTTTATCTAATGAATTTATTCATTGGATTGCTTAATTTAGAAATTGAAGGAAATCGAACACATTTCCTGTTTGTACTACAAAAAGCAAAAGTTTTGGCTGAAATTGAACTTTTTTATCTGTTTCCAAATCAACGGAGGTGGAATCATTGGTTTCCGGATACGATGTAAGTTATCTATAATTGAAATCATATCTTATATATTAAAAATTTATATAACCTTACCTTTACATTTTTTATTTAAATAGCTTCTATGAGATACCAATTGAAGATGTTCAACAAAGACTTACAGATATAAGTCATAACCCAGCATTGAGTAAAGCAATATATATTTCTGATAAATTGAGAGAGTTGGCTGACTTGAAGGATCAAAGTCAAATGACAAAAGCTGATTGTGAATATTTAATAAACAAGATGAAAGCTGACTATGAATCTTTATTAAAAAAGACGAAAACTGATAATGAAGGTTCAATGAATAGATTTATGACCAAAGATGATTGGAATAATTCTAAACAAGAATTTCTGTATGAAATTAAAAACCTTTTAATTGATAAAAGTGTTGATGAAGAAAGTAGAAAAGATAATCAAAACACTTTAATATGAATTCTTGTTTATAAATGATTAAAAAAAATTATTTTGAATTAATAAAATATTTTGTATAACAAGTCTTAGAAATTTTATGTGAATAATGAGAATACCAATATATCGTATTAGCTATACACATGTAATTTTGGCTGGAAAGTGCATAATTTTTTATTTCTGTATTTTTACACATATTTATCAATTTTTCTTTATCTATAATAGCTCCCTGATAGTATTTTATAAAAAATAAATGTTTAGTTGACAATATTCTAAATGCAATTATTTGTTAAAGTATATTTATAAATAATATTAAAATATTGCCATGATAATAAATCAATAGATAAAAGATGAAAGGTGATAGGAATACAAAATATAATTGTTATAGTTTTTAAAGATTTAACCCAAATTATTTCGCGGAAATTTTCAAGACTTATAAGATTGCCTCCAATGAATTTACACAACACAATTTTAATAAGAATCTTTAAGATTGACAATACCTACAAATTAAATGATTTTAGTAATATAAGTTTTCAGAGAGAATATAAATAATTAAATTGTTTTACAATTTTGATTTGCTCCTTTTATTATCCTAGCAAAAAAAAAGTTAATTAAAAAATAAAAAAAATAAAAAGGTTTGTTTAAACAAAAAAAAAAAACTCTTTTAATAGATCAACATCAATGTATAAATTTAACCTTGTAAATTTTTTCGTTTGATTAGTACTAAAAAATAATGAGTTGTTGAGAGATGTGCAAGAACTTGCATAAAAGGAAGTGTTAATGTAATTCTTTAATTTAAAATGAATAAATTTTATATTCCATTAATTTTTTTTGTTGTCGAAATTTGAAAAGAATCTAACTGTAACTGGTGGTGATTGTCACCGTATCACGTGATACTATCAGAATTTAAATTTAGCGTTAAAAAATTAAGAATATATTGTTTCAAATGAATTAAAACGAATAGAGACCGATAAAAATAATGTTTAGAAGCATGACGTATTAAAACTTGGATTGCAATACATTCAGTGAAATTTTTTAAAAGATTCCGGCGACCGAAGGGAGCCCGGCTAATTAAAGAATATTTGCATTATACCAAGTTAACAGAAAAAACCACAATTCTGCTTTGCATACACATACTCCTGATGATGACTTGCAATTGGAGAGATTTATATGCCAAGGACATCCAATTTTCCTAGAGGGATTAGATATTGATTCACTAGAATGACTATATTCAAATGTTCTATAGCGGACAATCCCATTGTCAACTTCAGTACGTTTATAGCGTAAAAATCCAGTTGATTTTTTCATATCGGTTTAGTTGTACTTCAGCTTCTTCCAATGATGAAAAGAATCACTGACAATAATATGAATGGTAGATTCAGTTATTTCTTCCATAGATTCGATTTGACTTTCTCATTATAATCTGTATCATTTTGAAGGTAGTACTGTTCATTTCAATAGAAATAAATTATTCAAAGCCCAATTACGAAGAAAACAAACATTAAAATCAAAGACTTACCTTCCGTAATTATATCATAACAAAACAAAAGGTAAAGAGGGAAAAAAGAAACGATGAAAAGAAATTAGTTTTTCGCATTACGTAATTTTCATATATATTATTTGCCATGTGATACCGGTGATCATAACCGCATGGTGATTACAAGTAATTTTCATTTGGAAAATTATACATACTTTTTACGGAGCGTTAATTTTTCGGAAAGACGAATGTAATTCTTATAGCATAATAATTTACTAAATTTATTACTTAAAAACTTAGAACTAGATCAAATTATTAAATAAATTACTGATAATTCACCTTTTAAAATTCGAAAAACTTCATATTCTTCTATGAAAAATTTTCTTTTGTATTTCTTATTGCATTATTATATCTAAATTTCATAAAATAATTATTATTAAAAAAACATTAAGGTCAAAATTAAATGTAGGACCAGAATTAAAATTATTATACACTGAAAAATTTCCATCAAGTGCACGACTTAAAATTGGATCTTTAATATTCTCCTTATCCTTAAAAGAATATATAAAAATATCTTTGGTTTCATTAAAATTACCAACAAAAAAAGAAGATTCCATGTATAAGGATTATATTCTCCAAGTGTTTCTTTTATTTTAATTAATGTAACTTGTCGAAGTATCACATAAACTAACTTTTTCAGGAGTAAATCCTCGTAATAATAATTTAAATTCAAAATTACTTTTAATTTCAACTATACGAATTAATAATTTATGTGTAAATAAGACCTTCAATATTTCTATTTCTAGGTAGAATATCATTACTCTGTTTACTATATTAAGATTCAAGTAAGAATTTAACAAATCTTCATAAAGTTGATTATTCAAAAGCTTTTTATATGAACTTTTTTATTGAAATCTTCGGAAGATAGAGTAAAAAATCTATCAAGGATAAACAATGTTGTAAAATATCTACCATTATTTTGAAATTATCCGACGAAGTTATAGGTTCCGGATTAAATGTAGGGTCTTTTTAAAGATCCAATCTTAATGCATTTTCCCAAATCTCAACTTCTTTCATATGTAGCTCGTTTCTTTTAATTAGTGAATTAAAGCTTTTTCAGAAAGTGAAGTAAAATCAAGCGACTTAAATATTTCCAAGTTCCAATGAAATAATTCCACCATAAATATATAAGATTATTGTAATTTAGGATAAAAAAAAATAATAACATGTTTAACATGCTTAACTTACCTTAAAATAATTTGAAAGGTTTCTGGCAAATATATGGCAACTTTATATGAGTTAGAGCGACGTTATTAACCTTTTATTGGAAACAAATGTTCGTCGTAAAAATGGAGAAATTTAACCCTAAATAATCATTTGCACATGGAAAATTTTATATTTGGATCCTCCCCAACTTCGATTCAACATTGAGATATAATTTTGACATAAAATAGGAAAAATTTGCGCAGACATTTTTGTTAATGATAGAGTATTGTGGGGAAAAAAATTTGACAAATCTGTTCAAATTTTAGCTAATATCACTCTAATATTGGGGTGACCCCCTTTTTATTTCCGATCTACAATGAAAAATATTTTTTATTTTGCAATTAATTTACCTAATAATTGAAATATTTTAAATATTTGAAAGAAAAGGCATGTCTTTATGGGTTAACCATCTTTGTTTCTGTTAAATTTATATGGAGAAAAATCAAAAATTTTAATTTTTTTATTAAATTATAAACAGTTATTAATAACCTTTCGATTACTAGTGTTAGAGTATTAATGATAATAATTAAGTTGCTTCGGCGACGCTTAATTTTGTACTTACGTTTTTCAGATTAGATAAAATTCAAGAAACTTTCGTTATTTTTATTTTCAGCTGTATTTTGTCTTAGTAATGCGAATGTTGATTAAATTTTGTTGAAATCAAACAAGTTGATTAATTGTTATTTCAAATTAAATATGCGAAGTAGGATATTCCGTGATATACTATAGAATTGCTCTTATTGTGTGAAATTAGGCTCAGTCGCGACATGTTTAAATGTGAAGACGAGAACTTGCACCGCCTACAAAAATTTTGTTTTCGTAAGTAAAATAAATTTTTGATTGGTTAGAAAAAGATAATATAAATGAAATATGGTTTTTTTTTTTTAAAAATAAATTCATAATTCTGTCCTGAATTAAAGATTTAATTATAAACTTCATTAACTTTCATTTATAATATCATTGACATTTCGTGAGTTAACCATCAATTAAAATTTTTGAAAATAAAAGGACGATGGTTATTGATTAGAGAAGTGACCCGTGCCGGCCGCAAATCTTTGCCAGATGGATAACGGTAAATTTCATTTTTAGAAAGTTAATAAAGCGACGATCATCCGCGCCGTGAAAGACAAGATTATTACCTTGATAAATAGATAATAATCTATCTTTCTGAAATGACTTATGCTATCTAGATATGCCACTTTGGCTTATTGTTGATTATTTAATAATAAATTAATTAATTATTTTAGATATTTTAGATTTAACTACAATACTTTCAGTTCAAATATATAATCATGGTTTGATAGAAACAATCTTATGTTTATTTGAATTGGTATAAAAAGTGCATCAATCTCGTTCAACATTCAATTTTGGTTAGTTCATATGCTAGATGATTTTTGAGTTTTCAATATAAGTTTTCTTTTGCTTATGCATTTGGCTGATTAGAAAAATTGAGGCAATTAATTTTTAAGCTCTACTAGTATATTTATCTAATTGCTTAAATATAATTTAAATCATTTATTTATATAAAATCTTTAATGTTAAAGAAAATATATGCAAAGAAATATAACCTTAAAAAGTTATTTGTCAGGACTAAGTTATATGTACTAGTAAAATTAATTTTAATAAAATTCGTTGCCTCTGTAGCAAAATTTTTTTAAAAAAAAACTTGTCACTAGCAAAAATAAATAAATTCTTTAAAAAAATTAATTTTAAAAAAAAATTCCATGCCTTAAAAGATTCACAAACATTTAAAAAATAAAAATACTTATCCCATTGGTATTATGTATACACTGGTAGAATTTTTCGTTACTTACTACACGGGTTTATAATAAGTATATAAATACTGAATATTAATAAATTTATATTAAAGAAATGCATATTTATTATCTTAATTTTATACAATTAGTAAATAATACAAATTAGTAATGAATATTAAAATGTACATCCATTACTGAATTAGAATAGATATTTTTGAAAATTCTGATTGTAATTTTCTTTTTTTGTATGTTGAATTGGAAACAACTTTTAATGCTTGTTTTTTTTTGCTATTTTTTTTAAAAAAAAATAGTTGAAATTAAAATGTAAGAATAATCTAAAGAATGAATTACAAATGACTTACTTTTATTATTTATATGAATTTCATTTTTTGAATCAGAATTTTCATTGGAACATTTTTCAGAATCTATCAAACTTTCATTTATACTTAAATCTTTATTATTATTTAATTCCTCGTCTTATTTATTATCAATAATTTCTTATTCTTCATTTGTTTCTAAAATTAAAACATTGTATTAATTGTTTAAAAAATTTAAAACATTTAACTTACCATTATCTAAAAAATTTGAATTATTGTCATTATCATTTAAATTAGCCCATGAATTTCCAGGAAAGTATTCAAATTCTTCAACTTTAATATCTTCAAAATCTAAAGGTATTAAACTAACAGTATTTTGAAATTTTTTGTTTTAGCTGAACTTTTATAAGTTCTTACTTCTTCTCGTGATCTATATTTCATCTTCTGGAATATCTTCATCTTTTAGCATTTGAATTGCTATTCTACGATAACTATGGTTAACAATTTTTTGATCATCAGTTAAATCAATGCCTATTAAAGTAGCAATTTGATATAACATCTTTTCTAATTTATTTTGTCCTATTCGGATATTTTATACCAGATTCCTTTATTAAAATCTAAATAATTAAAAATTTTTTAATAAATTTTATTAAATAAATTATAAACAATATTTATTTATTTACCTTTTTTAATTGTGTCATTTTTAAAAAGAATGATAGACATGCATCTAAAAGTCTCATTGATTTATATTTTAGAATATCATATATAAGCTAAAAAATATTTTCTTCAAAATCTGGTGGTATAGGAATTTTTCGTGATGTTGATTTTCTATATTTATTTCTATTTCTTATACCTCTTTGGTTATTTTTTTCAATAAACATTTCTAAGTTTAATCCACCATCTTTATCAGCTTGTGCAGTTTCTCCAAATCCTTAAATTTAAAATTGTTTCATTTTACCATTTAATGTTTTAATTGTTAAAGAAAAGGCATACTGATCCCAGATTTTACATAGTTTAATTATTGACTCTTCTTTTAAATATCTTGCAATTGATACTTAACAATTATATACAGATTCTGTTTTGTAGTTTTAACTATCTAATTTCTTAGATCATGTAATAAACTTGCATAAAAATTTTTCAAGTTCTTTGCAAGTATCATATTCATTAATATTTTTTATTAAATTAGCCTCTTTATTAAATTTATCAACTATATGAAGCAGTTTTGAGATACATTTGTCTGTATTTTTTACTCTTAAAAGTTATTAAAACTGTAATATTTCCTTATTTGTAAAAATAGAATCTATTATGATAGAAAATTTTTTAATTTTATAAAAGAGAAAAAAAGGATTATAAGTGAGAGAAAAAAAATATTCAATTTATTAAAATTCTACTAGTATATACATTGTTACGTTGATTTTTGTAACTTCAAATAAAATCTCAAAAGGGTAAATAAAACAAAACAATTACTCAAGAAATTACGGGTGAGGATTCACAATAACGTCAAAGAATTATTCTCAATAATAAATACGCGAGATAAACACAAAATAAACATAAAGATAACTCAAAGATATTTCAGAAATTACGCTTCAGAGACTCCAAGTCAATACAGTGAATCAATACAATATCATATAATAAGTTTTCTAACTATAATTAAAGGGTTGTACGAATGCAAAGGGCAACAGATAATTTATAACAGTTTCAATGGGTTTGCGAAGAATAAGTTTTATACTTGGTTAATTATACTCCTTTATTAATATAATAAATAAGTTCAGTATCTAAAAGATTAAGATCTCGTCAGTTACATTTGCCAGAAAGGTCATGAAACTTAATAAAAATACAAAGATATTTATACATATTAAATAATTAAATAAACTAAACTAAAAATATTCAAAGGAAATAAAGTTGCTATGTCAATAAATTGCCAGATCTGCAGGCAATTAAATGGACATCTATGATCTATGTGATTATCAAAGGCAATAAAATCAAAATAATCTTCGTAAAAGATCTACATGGCAATAAAATTGACTTCCTATTTTACTAATTAAATCTATCTAAAATTTTACCCGTCACAACGTTATACACAATGAGATAAGCCTGTTATTTCATATTTCATTACAGATTACTTAAGTTATTCAGAGTTAATATAAAAATCACATGTGTTTATGCACATATAACTTTTATATATAACCTGTAAATAACTTAGTTATCCTTCATTACATATGGAATAATAAGTATTTATCTGCTAAAGTATTTTAATCAATAAAGTAAATTTTATTATAGCCAATATTTTGATAATCTAATGGATATTTTCACATTAAATCATTTTATATATATATATATATATTTTTAAAAAACACTTATTTATATTTTTCGTTAGTTAGTTCTTGACCAAAATATTGCTATTATTTTACTTTCAGTTTAGATTTCTTAAGTTGTAGGCTCCATTTTTATTTTACTTTCAGTAGAAACTTATCTATTTTAAATAAAAAAGAAATTTTACAAATAAGGTAAATTTAATTGTGTTTGTACTTTATCGATACTTTAGTAATAAAATATAAATCTCACAAAATACAAATATTGAATAAAACTAAAATAAGAATGTTTTTAATTAAATATACAAATGTAAAAGAATATTATATTTAAAAAGATATAAATAAATGTAAAGAATTATCATAAAAAAAATAAAGAAAAAATACATATTGCATATTAAATATAATGAATTAATAATTTTTTACTTAAAAAATAAACAAATGATTCTTTATAAAATACATTGTATTATAGCAATTTAATAAGATATATTATATTAGTAAAAATTATTTTTAAAACAATCTATTGATAGTAGCTGTAATACTAAAAAATTTGTTTCTTTAAAGAAATTTATTTAAATAAAATATCAGAAATAATAACATTTTGATTATTTTTCAAAATTTTTCTAGAGGGTAAATTTATTTTAAAGGTTTATTTAAGAGAAGTTTTAGATGATTTTTTATAAATTTATTTAATAAAAATTTCAGATAAGTTATTTTTAAAATTTATTTTTAAAGAGTGATTTTTTGATTTAAAAATATAAAAAAGGTTAAAGATGATTATTTTATATATTTTAAAAATAAAATTTATTTTAAGAATGTTTTATATTTTATTGATTTAAGATTAATGTAGTTATTAAATATTTTTAACTTATATAATTTATAATATTTAAGTAATATCTATATAATAGTTAAATTTCATCATGATCTACATAGTTCAAGTTTATAAAAGATATACTTTCCTATCAAAATCACTGGTAAGTCATTTTTAAAAAACTTAAATTGCATTATCTTCTTATTCAATAATTATAAGATTAAATACAGCTTTTTTAGATTTCTTAGATGCTAAAAACATAAAAATACTGCCATCAGATGCATCTCATTATGATGATTTTATAAGCTATAATGCATCATTTTACATCAATAGATGATGAGATACTCTTTTATAAATGTTTAAATTGCTTAAGATCAGCAAATAAAATTTTATTACATTTATTTTTTAAAATGAAATTTATTATCATAGATCTAACCAAATTTGATAAACATTTTTTAGGCTTAAAAGAAAAATAAAACAATTTTATAATTTTATTATTTAATTTTTTAAAGAATAAAAAAACATAAGAAATTAACTGTTTTTAAATGTAAAATGATTTTTAAACTTTTATAAAAGTATTTATAGAGTTAGTAATATTTCTAAAATCTTAAATATACTTAAAAGTACTTATCAAAATTTTATTGAAAAATTTTGTAAAGAAGATTTACAAAAGTTTCTTCTTATTTAGCAAGACTACACTTTTATCTAAATATAAAGAACAAACTTATATATTAAATTAAAAATCAAAAAAATTTCTTTTGAAGAATTACTAAAATTTTAATCAACTTGATCTTATTTAAATTAGTACTAATTCTTCTAGATATGTATTATAAAAGTATAATTATTTTAGTCAAATTAGAAAAAGGAATCTTTTATTTTAAAAATAATAAAAAAAAAATGTTTAAAATAGTATAAAGAGTGTAAATTCTAAAATAAAGAATAGAATAATATAATTTAAAATAATGAATCACAATTTCTTTATTTAAAAATGATAGATAATAATAGTTTTGAGATAATTTTATAAATAATATGATGTAGATTACTTAGTTTTTATAGTAAAGTCAAGTAATAATAGGGTAACAATTATGCTTAGTCTTTTAGTAGTATTAAATAGAAAATTATAGGAAAAGTATATAAAAATTTATTAGAAACTTATTTATTACCTTTTATAAAAAGCTTAAATAAAAAAATTACTTTTACTTTTAAGATTATAATGCTTTTATACATAGAATAATTTAATATTTAAATAAAAGAGAATAATTTAGTATCTTTTATTCTATAGCTTACTCAAATTCTATATTATAATCTAATTAAACATTATGAGATTATTTTGAAAGAAAAATATATGAATATAGTTTTAAGCTAAAAAATAAAGGAGTACTTATATTAGTTTGATAAAAAAATAGTTTAAAATTGAAAAAGGTTATTTAGAAAAATTGATAAATAATATGTCAAATAGAGTTAAAACTATAATTAAAAATAAAGAAAATCTTATAATGTATTAATATTAGCTTCTAAAAGTTTATAATCTAAAGATCTTGACAATATAAATTTTTTTTTTTAAATTTTTGAGTAAATTCAGTTTATATTTTATTAATTTTATTAAAAAAAAAATGCTAATTTTTTATAATTATCAGTAACTTGTAGTAAGTAAGTGTACATTAGAATAAAATAAATTAGGATAACCAGAAATACAAATTTTTTCATATATAATATTTAAGAAAAATATAAAGTTTTCTTTATTATTTTATTTTTAAAATGGTTTATATAAAAATATGCAGTTGAAATGAGTTTTAAGTATTGACAAATATTAAGGATTGCAAATTTTGTGAAAAATTAGTTTATTATAAAATACTGAAATAATTTTATATAGCATTTCAGATAGATTCTTCAGCTTATCATAGAGATACAAGCAGAATTCTTTCTTTTAAACTTTAATTATTAAGTATATATATTTGTATAATATGTATTAAATTATAAAAAAACTTAATAAATTATTTATTTAAACAATAATCTTTTTTTTTTACAGATGCAATAATAGCAAATATCATTTATTTATAATTATATAAAGGATATATTGTAATTTTCAAGGTAAAAAAATTACCAAATTAGCTATTAATACCTGGTCAGATTTTGAAGATAAACAAATATTCAGCACTTTTTATAAAGAGTATTCTTCAAAAAGTAAATCTAACAAGTTGGAAAATCGTGGAATTTATTCCATATTAAAGTAAAAATATTTCTTTATTACTGGGTTAATAAATTATACAAAATTCTAATTTTTATTTTTTTTTTTGTTATGCTAAACAAGATTTTCTGTTAATAAAAATGAAGCAAATAGTACATCTGATTCAACAGGATCTATGCATACCAAAATACGCAGAAGATTTTAGCACTTCTGACTTGACAGAATTGGTAGATATGACAGAAGACAATATTATTATGTATACTGTTAGCACAAAAAACAGCAAAAGAGGACTAATCACAGCTAAATCACATATGATCATAAGAAAATATTAAAAATTGTTAAAGTAATTGTCAAAGATGAAAAGCAGTTTGCAAAAATAGTGAGCAGATATGCTTTATTTTAATTAGCACTTAATAGACAAAGAGAAAAAGGAAAATAAGGCTATGAGCAAAGGTTAGCAAGATCTTTGCTTGCTAATTTACCTAAATAACAGAAAGCTAGTTACAAAGACATGTTTAAAAAAATTGAAAAAAACAAAGAATTAAGGAATAATTCACAGAGTTCTAAAAATAAAAAAAGAAAGCAGGAAGAAAATGAAGAGAATGTTGTAGTAAATCAAGGAGAATCTTCAAAACCATCTTCTGGCATTATAAAAACTACAGATTTTGACAAGATGAGAATCGATAATCTCTTAAACTAAGCCTAAACTATTAAAAATAAATATTTTATCATTTTCTATAAGAATTACTTGCTAGTAATTTATTTCCATCGTTTACCATATATTTCTGATAAAAATAGTTTCTAAATATTATCCTTCCATGATTTTTTTATTTCATTAAAATCTTTATCGTCGTAAAAGCATTTTTTATCGATATACTTTATATTTTGTACGTTTTTTTTTTTACTATTTAGTATTATTCGTTCAAAGTCAATTTTTATATTATTATGTAATAAGAGGCGTTATTTAAAAATTTAAGAAATATGATTTAAGTATGATTTATGTTTAAGGAATAATAAATAAGACTTATTTTTTTATACTTAAGTAATTTTGCTTAATGTCACTATAAAAGTGGGAAGACAATTAAAAATTTGATGAGTTTACATTTCTTAAAAGTGAAGAAAAGTTAAATCATTATCATTTTTATAGTCATTATTAGCAGATTTATTTTTTGATCTAGCATATTTAAAGCAGTTAAAAGGACATTATACATAATTTATTTTGCATGATTATATTGTTCATAAGCGTTCTTTCATTTCTTTTAAACATGTAACTCATATTTTTAAAAAGAATTTCACTTTATTAAGTTCTCTTTTAAGGAAATTACGTAGATATATTTTAGACTTTCTAAATTTGTAACGACAGAGTTAAATTTTTTTTGACAAAGTAATCTTAGCATCAAAAGATGTGAACTACCATCAACGGGAAATTGTAGTTATTTTTATTTTCTCTTAAAAAGTACCAAAAAAATCATTTTTGCTTATTTTTTTTATTTAGATTTATTATTTATCTTTTGTGATTCGTAATACTAAATTAGTTACAGACAGGTACTAGTAATATAATTGTGTGTCACATAATTACAACTTTACTTAAATCAAATGTTAACAATCCATTAGCTCTAACTCCCTCATAAATAAGAATTTAAAGAGAGTAATCGACTGACATTAATCATTTAAGTAGCGTAGTATATCCAAAGAATAGAATCATAAAATTGAAAGAACTTTACTAAGAGAAATTTTGACAAGATCATTCATAAACTCCCCATTGTCTTTCTAAGCAAAGAACAGTTTCACTAAAAATTACAATAAATATGAAAAAACTAAAAAGCACTAACTGTGTTACCAATAAATCAATTGTTGTAGCAAACATAAGATTACATTATTTTTTGACCAAACAAGAAAGGTGAAACTAAAAAAAAATGAATGAGAGTGTTTATTTCTTTTATGTTGAAAAACAGGATTACTAATTAGCAAAGCAATCAGTTTTGATCAAAGTTTAGAACATCAACAATCAGAATACAAAGACTATATTTACTAAGAGCCAAAGAGAGGTGGGTCTATGTTAGTCCTGAAATAGTAAGAGAATTAGTTAAACAGAGTTAGAATCCTAATAAAGTTAATCGTTTTAACTTTTTTCCTTCCTTTTACAGGTAAAAAGTACTAAACATTAGAGAAAATATAGAATTAGTTCTGCATACCTTGAAAAGATGTTTCGCTACCTATAATGCCTTAAATGGAATACCCTCACCTACGTTACAAAGGGTACTTGGTCATAGTCAAATATCTACTACCACTTTGTATATTAAAGATAATGATCTAAATAATCTATTAAAGTTTAAACCAATTTAAAATCTTTTTTTATATTTGATTTTATTGTAATAATGATCATTTATGAAAAATGCAATATGAGACACATAAACAAAAAAAATTCACAATTCCTTAGAATACAGGACCAAAACAAAGAAAATGCCCATTTTTATTGTTTATATTTTTGAATGAATACATTCATGAGACCAATCATGAACTACACATTTTTAGTATACATGTTTAACTAATTAGAGAAGATGGATGAAATAATGATAATTCTGTGAATTTACCCTTTAGCTATATTATAGATTAGTAATTAACTAATATACCATATACTAGTATTTTAAAATTATCATTTAAAAAACCAAAATAGGCAGATTACTCTGAAACTTGTTAAAAATAATATTTTAATTATAAAATGCATATATTATAATCATCAAATCCAATATATGACATTTTGTGAGTACAATAGCTTCAATAAGAGTTGTATCTACTTAATGTATTTCTGCAAATTGTTATTAAGAGGATTTATTTTAAAAATTAATTTTATTTGTCTAAGAATCAATTTTCATTATCTTTTTCTAATATCATTATTTTAATTCTAATTCTATTTATTTTCTTTTATTCCATTCTAAAATTCATTTTTTTTCTATTTGTTATTTCTCTTTTTTCCAAATCATTATAATATTCCTATAGTCATTTTCTTCTTTTATATGTTTCCTTTTTTCTTTTCATAATTTCTTATTTCTTCAGTTATTTTATTTTTTTATAATTGTATATTACACCTTTCATCTGATTATTTTATCATCATTGTTAAATATTTATTATGAGCTATTTTTCTTATTAGTTTAATCTTTATTGTTATTATCATCAATTATATGTCATGTATTATTTTCATCATCAATTATATATTATATATTAAATTATAAAATATTAAATATTTATATCATTTTTCTTATTAATTAATATTATATTATTATAATTTCATTTTCTGTATATTATTTTATTATGTAATTAATTCAAATAACAAATTATACTATTTAATTATTAATTCCTTATTTACTATATAAGATTTAATGTTTTTACATAAATTCTAGTAGTTGACTAATTATTATCTAATTTTACTAAGATTTTTTTAAGTTTTAGTATCTGAATACTTAAAGACTATATAATAATTATTTTGGTATCTTAAGGTGTAAACCTTAATGCTTAATCTTAGAATCCTTAAGGTCATATCTAGATATAAGTTTTAACTAAAACCTGTTCATAATACTAGTTCAAGACCTACCATCTAGGTTGACACCTTCAAAAGCTAACTCTTATAGATCTTAAAACCTCAGAACTACTATTAAATTTGAATTAAAGGATCAGTTTCAGCTACAGATACTTATGTCACATTTTTTCTGCACTTACTAATATCAATCAGAATCATTATTACCTCTGCTTAGTATCAGGGTTTATTATACATAACTGAAAAGGCTTGAATATTATCATCCTTATAGAATTTCTAAAAGGTAGGTAGTTATCATACCTATATTATCAAATTTATTTAGGAATTAAACCTAGTCTTTACCTCTAATGATAATTCAATTGAATAAGACTGTGACAGTGCAATTCAGTTTATTATTATCATAGTTACATAAGATATTTAGACCTCAATGTGATATCCAATTAACTAATTACTGGTTAATTACTTTCTCACTTTATGTAAGAGCTAGAGATAAGAGACGAAACTCTTTAATAACAGTCAAAACTTAGACAAAACTATATTAAAATCATAATAAGGGATATGATAAAACCTTTTAATATAATGAAAGTTGAAACTGTCAAACCTATATTAAAACATAGAAAAAGGTATGATGAAATTATTTTGAGAAAGTTTCAGCAGGCATCTATAGTAAGGACCCTTGAATTTTAAAATATGAGACAATATCTATTATAAACTTATTAGTAAAGGTTAAGTTTCTGTCAATTCTTAGCTTTATTTGCATTTATATATTCTTAAAAATCTTGTATTTAGGTATAATTAATGCTGATTAATAAATTAATTGATCAATTACAAATGCATATTAGTATATATACTCATATATTCAGTTACATATAAAATTCATAAAAAAATTATCTAGTTTTATACCTTAGTTGAGATCTGAATCTGTGACTATTGTAGTGTAACTTACAATAGGAGCTCAGTTATTACCAATTGAACTAGAGATGCCAATATCATCTAATTTTACTAAGATAATTTCTATCTTTATTTATAATAAAATTAATATTAATCAATTTGTAAATTTTTTCTTAAATTCACATTCTTTTTCTTATTAATTCTAAACTTTAATTTCCTAATTCTAGTTTTTATTTCTTTTCTTAATTTCTAATTTCTAATTTCTAATTCTTCTTTTATTCCTAATTCTGTTCATTATTAATTTTTATTATTATATCATAGTTTTATTATTATTTCCTATAATTTTACTATTTCTTCACTTTATTCTTAATATTTCATTTTATCTTTTCACCATCATTTTCTAATTATAAATTTTAATTTTCATCAATTTTCTATTTCCAATCTCATTTATTTCTATTTTCTATTTCTTCCTATATTTTCTTTCTCGTTTATCATTTCTAAAGTTATTATGTATATATCATTATGCATCGTTATAATATTATTATTTTCTATTTTTAGATATTCTTTTGACTTCACTAATTATTACTTTATTTTCTTTTATTTCTTTAATTCTCATAATAATTCTTTTTTCTTTTGTATTTAAGTATATTTCTATCTTCTTTTTATTATTTCTACTAATTTTCTTTTTTGGTAATATAGATTATACAAGTATTCCATGAACTTAATTTGTTAGTTTCTTTCATTTAACTTTTGTGATATTTATACATATTCATCAATTTTTTCTTTTCCTTTTTTTCAATATAAGAGTCTTATAGTTATTAATGACTTTAGCATTTATAATCTAATTCCTAATTCTTATATTAGATAATTTATACTTTGTTATATTATTCTAGTTAATTATTCATCTAATATCATATGAATTCTGGTTAATTATTTTTCTTTTATGACCTTCGTTCAATATAATAACTTTCTAATTTTATCTATTTTGTTATAAAGGTCACGTAATATATCATTTTAAGATTTCTTAATTCTACAATATAAAGTAATAGCTTACTTAGAATAGTTTATTATAATTAGAACTAAAAATCTACAAATAGAAAAGAAGACTTAGTTTATAAATCAATTTAGGAATAAAAAAATATCAGTAGTACTGGTATTAGATAATATACTGTTCTAGTGATAGTATATTTGTTAGCATATATGTGATAGAATTAAAATTGTTTAAAAACATAATTATTATTCTTTACATAATTTAAAAAATGCAAGTTAGTGTA